TTCTCACTAGAGTTAGGTGATACCTCATGATGGTTTTGATTTGCATTTTCCTGATAATTAAAGATGATAAGAGACCTTGAGCATTTTTTCATGTTTATTGCCATTAGTCTTTCTTCTTTTGAAAACTACTGTTCATACCTTTTGCCACACTTTTATGAGGTTGATTTTTTTCTTGCTGATTTGCTCAAGTTCTTTATAGATTCCAGTTCTCAGTCCTTTATCAATGCATAGCAAGCAAATATTTTTCTCCCATCCTGTAGGTTGTCTATTTGCTCTGTTGATTCTTTTCTTGCCTATGCAGAAGCTCTTTAATTTAATCAGGCCCCAACTCTTGTTGTTTCTGTTACCACCTTAGGATTTTCTTAATAAATTTTTTGCCTAAGCTGATGTCTATAAGAGTTTTTTCAACATTTTCTTCTAAAATGCCTATAGTTTCATGTCTTTGATTTAAGTCTGTTATCCATCCCGAATTAATTTTTTGAGTGATGAGAGGTGTGGATCCTGTTTCAGTCTTCTGCATGTGGCTATCCAATTTTCCCAGCACCATTTGTTGAATAGGGATTCTTTTCCCCCGTGTATGTTTTTGTCTGCCTCATCAAAGATCAGGTGGCAATATAAGGATAGTTTAATATCTAGGTTTTCAGTTCTGATACATTGGTCTATGTCTCTGTTCTTGTGCTAGTATCACACTATTTTGGTTCATAGCCTTGTAGTATAGCTTGAAATCTGGTAAAGTGATGTCTCCCAATTAGTCCTTTTTGCTTAAGATTACTTTGGTTATTTGGGCTCTTTTCTGGTTCCACGTGAAGGATAGAATTATTTTTTTCCAGATCTGTGAAAAATTATCTTGGTATTCTAATGGGGATTGCATTGAATCTGTAGATCACTTTGGGTGGTACAGACATTTTAACAATGTTGATTCTGGCTGGGCACAGTGATTCACACCTGTAATCCCAGTACTTTGGGAGGCCAAGATGGATGGACTGCCTGAGCTCACAGGTTCAGACCAACCAGAGCAAGAGCAATACCCCGTCTCTAAAAATAGCCAGGTGTTGTGGCAGGCACCCGTAGTCCTAGCTACTTG